CCAAACCCATCTATACCTATATATGCCCATACATTTCTGCGTTTACTCACTCATATATTGGTCGCAAGCTCAGTCTGTTTTCCCCGAAATAAGTGAGGATGTCTCATAGACTTTGTCAACCTGAATGTCCAAACGGCTAAAGTACAACAAGAATCAATCATTGTCTTCTGATAAGATCGACCCTCTAATCACTTCCTCATGGACTTTCATGCAAAATGAAAGTCTCCAACACTAGTGTCAAATTGACCCTTAAACCATCCAGGATTACATCTCTGCAATTTTTAAATCAGGAAGAAAATATAACAAATTTACAAAAGGATTTATTGAAATAATTAGTCTATGATAAAACATTGTGTACGGCGTAGTCATCATTATTGGAATATAGGCTAATATATAGAAACCTCTTTTAGATGCAAGATAATTGAGTTTAGACAATAGGGCAAGTCAGAAAGCAGATGTAACATTTTATAGGTAATAATAACACAAATAACTCTATTTGTGTCTTCAGAAAACAAAATAATCCATATACAAACTAGCCGTGAACACTTAAAATTATAATGTCATTCTATGGAATGTGAGTGATTAAGCCTTTTATATAATAAAATATATGTTTTATAATATAGGATAAATTAATTCTATCAAATATTTCGTAGATATCAACTTAAACTAGCTGTGAAACAATAAAGCATGTTTGTCAGATAAGTGGTCTTTAGTCAAACCATTTAGAAAAGATAAGAAGTTTATTAGAGCCAAATGACCTAGATTTTGTTTTTAGTTTCTTTCTGTATGGAGGTCGTTTAAATTAAGGCAGCCACATGATCCACTAAAACAATGGTTTCAGTAACGTAGTAGGGGTAGTTCTACTATGTAGGTAAAAAAATATATATGCATTATCTCAGCCTATCTCATCTTAATATTAACATTTATTACTAAAATAATATTGGCATAAAACTATGGCATAATAGCGACCCTTGTTTATTAAACTCAGTCTTGGCGCCCTTTACGTCCTAATCCAGTTCTCTCCATTCCCCTCCCGTTGCCACTTTCTTCTTTGGATAATGGCACAAGGGTCTACTAATTACATTAGGGGAAAACATTACTTAGCATGGCGCAGTATACAATTAAGTCGCGCGAAACTGAAAGCATCAAGTCGCACTTCAGCCTTACTTTCAGGATTTGCCATGGTTGCTATAATAGAATTGAACGTAGGATCCACACCATAATTTTTAGTTTCTAATTAGGTAGATTGAAGAAAGTGACGATCACCCAGTTCCGGAGGGCTTGATAATTGTCTTCACTGCTCTAGCTTGTTTGCTTGTCGTTGTTCATATCATGGCTCTAATGATAAGTACGTGCATACTACCACATCTTGAGTCCCATACTAATATGTATGATCACAAAGCCGCTTCGGAATCTCCTCACGAGAGAATGCGCACGTAAGGCTGTGCTAATACGTTTATTTTTAAGTGCTGATTAGTTTTCTTATTTGGGCATTTTATATTTCATTGCTATTTTAGCTATATAGAAATGGCCTGGATCTTCAGCACTGGATTAGGAATTTTGTTATTCTTGGTCGTTGTGGTGATGGCCTGCTGGGTGAAATTTTGGACCATCAGTAAATGGTCAGCTGGCGTCGCAACTCTCATAATCGGCCCGGTGTTGCTCGTCTTTATTATCTTTGCTGCATTGTTCTATCGCAGTTTGGTCTCGCACAAATTCGAGCATGCCACAGAAATGATGAATAAATTGGATTTATTTATGTCACAACTTGAGAACGGCACGTCCATGCCATACTACAATACTGACAGTGAACTTCATGACTCTCTACACCTTCACCAAAATGATTCTACTTCATCGGGCTTCAAACCAGAAGATAATGGGAAAAAAGTATCAGAAAAAGCCTGACTCTATTAACATAAAACTTTTCATAACTAACTTTATTACTGGCCTCTTGAATGAATTCAGTCCATTGCTTCAGTCTACGGTTATTTTTCATTTATACTACTAATCTACTTATTTTCATTCATTCTTCGCATACTGGAATTGGTTGTATATTTAAACCAACTTCATATTTTGTCA